TCTATTTCCACTTAACACTTTGTCATAAAAATTGGAATTCTTTATACACAGGGAAGAAAAAGAAACAAACCAAAATTACACACACACACACACATGCACACACACACATACACACGTCATTAACAACTTTTGGGACAAAGGTTTAGGGCTTCTAGTTCATTGGCAAAATGTTGTCTGGTAATATTCTCCTGCCAATAGACTAGGACCCATATTTCCTTTCTTTGCATTTATTTATTTATTTATTTTTCTGGGATGTCATGCTGTCTTTGCTCACACTGTCCAGCAAGAAATTCTTCATCTTATTAAACCTGAGCCACTCTCTTGATGTTGCAAGTTTATCATTCAAAAAGTCATTACTAGTTGAATTGTGTTAACAGGAATAAGATTGAGTTATTGCTAGCTTTTAGAAGAACATACATGTCTAGAAGGCTAGTATAACTTTATTTTTATATCAGAGTTTTGTTTTAGGAACTAACAACTAAAGATCAATACATCTGATCAGCATGAAATGCTATTTTTAGTCAGAAAATCCCTCAAACAATTTGACCTCTCTCATTTCTCTTTGTTCTAGTCCACCATGATTCTGTTTAAAACCAGGAGTAAGCCATTTACCTTCTGTGTCATGGCTAGGGGCTCAAGATAGCATTCATAGATAAAGAACATACACTACTCCAGTGTGACCATGACTGGTACTAAAGTCTTGTCAAGGATACTTTGAAGCATAACCAAAAGTAATGTAGTTCTGGGTCAATTAACAAGAAACAAAAAGATTAGATGACACTATAAAGATAAGCTCAGAGAGTAAAGTCACATCTACATATGGAAACTCCCATGGTAGCAAACATTTTACCTTATTTCTTAATAATGATATAAACTGAGGATATTTGTTCACTCTGATTATATTTACCTAAGTGTCTATGCCCCTTCTTTTACTCAAGTCAGTATGATACCTATAAAGCTAAAACATTCAATTGTTCAATCCCCTTCTTTTTCCCAACACCAGTCAAATGGGCTGACTTTATATTCCTTTTAAATTGTGTGACAGTTTTGCAATAACAGTTCACAGGGCTTGTGACCAAGAGTCTGCCCAGGCTTTGGGCTCTCATGGGGATCCTGGAAGAAACACCCAATAACATACTAAGCTGTCTTCTCACTATTTGGCACATTTCTATCTGGCTAACAAGGCCGTTTGCACTGTTTTCTGCCATCATCCTCCAAAATGCTCTCCGTTGGCCACACGTTGGCAAGACTTTGACAGCTTTCAGCCAGAATGCACAGCTCCTGAATAGCATCTAGGCCAGTGGTTGCCCTTCCATGCTGATGATTTTTTCTTAGGTAGCTTAGAACCTGTTCAGAAAGTTAAGACTCAGCCAGGCTGCTATTTGGATTCTTTGCCCCATTCACACTCCCTTGTGCCTTTATATACCATCTTAGAGAAAAATATGGAGATTCAGCTCCAGTGCTTAGTATTCTTACTATTCATTTAAACAGAAATGTCAAAAACCTACATCAACTTTGATGTGCCCTGTGTGTCACTCAAGCAGCCCACTCCCTTTCTTGCTGACTCAGAAATACTCAGAATCCTGAATTGATTTCTTTACACATTTATCAAAATTTTCCTTAAAAACACCCTTTGATTTTTCATGTTTTTGAAACTTAAAATATATTGTATGAATTTTTCTGTAACGTCTTAAACATTATTTCTTTTTTTGTTTAATATTATGTTGGTGAGATCCTTCATGTTAATGTGTAGCTGTGGTCTACTACATTAATATGCCATAACTTATTTTACCCTTTTCTGTTGACAGGCTTTGATTTAGTTCCAGTTTATTTTTTTTCTGCAAACAAACAACAACAACAACAAAAACCAATGCTCTTATAAATGTTCTTAGACAGGGTGCCTGGGTAGCTCAGTTGGTTAAGCAACTGCCTTCAGCTCAGGTCATGATCCCGGAGTCCTGGGATCGAGTCCCACATCAGGCTCCTGACTCAGCGGGGAGCCTGCTTCTCCCTCTGGCTCTCTTCCCTCTCATGCTGTTTCTCTCTCTTTCAAATAAATAAGTAAAATCTTAAAAAAATAAATAAATAAAATAAATAAATGTTCTTAGACATATCTCCTGGTAGACAAGGGTAAGACCTTACCTAGGATATATACCTAGGAGCAGAATGGCTACATCTAATGCTTTATACATATTCAATATTGTTATGTAATGCTAAATTGTTTTCTAAAGATTTGTACCAATTTATACTTCCACCGCATTGTATAAATGTACACATTTAGTCCATATTCTCACCAATCTTGATAGTTTTAACATTTTTGCCACCTTGATGGATATAAAATGACATCTCCTTTTGGTTTTAATTTCCATATCCAACTTACTATTTAGACAGAACATCTTTTTAGACATATATTTGCCACTCAGTTTTCCTCTCTTATGAAGTGTCTGCTTAAATCTCTTGTCCAATTTTTCATAAGGTTGGTTGTTTTCATACAAATTTATGGGTACTCAATATATTCTAGATATATGCCCTTTTTTGATGATAGTGTTACAAACATCATTCCTCTCCCAATTTCAGTTTTGTCTTCTCATTTTCTTAGTGGTTACTTTTATGAACATAGATTCATAATTTTAACTTAGTTTGATTCAACATCTTTTTTTAGGTTATTGTTTCCTGTTCTTAAAAATATCTTTCCCTACCCAAGATTGTGCAGATATTCTTTTGCATTATCTTCTAAAAGCCTTATTTTTTGCCTTTCACAACTTTGTCTACACACTACCTGGGATAGATTATCATGAATGGTGTAGGTAGAGACCAAATTTTATTTATTTTTCATGTTGATATGCAACTGAATCATAATTATTTATTGAAGGTGTATCTTTCTCCATTGATCTACAGTGACACCTTTATCTATCTATCATCTATCTATCAGGTATCTATCATCTACCTACCACCATCATCTATCTATCTATATCTATTATATATACAGTTTAATTCTAACATGTCTATTCTATTTCATTGGTCTATTTGTCTATCCTTGCATCAAATTCACACCACCTTAATAACTGTATCTTATAATACGTCTGCATACTTAGTAGAAGAAGTCTTTTGACCATACTCTTCTAGAATATTTTAGCTATTCTTGGCCCTTGTTATTTTCACATAAATTTTTGTATCAGTTTGTCAATGTCTAAAGTACTTTTTCTGGGTTACTGTGAAGAGTTCTTATGTGATATGAATACAAGTTGTTTGCCAGTTAATTTTTTTAAAATATATTCTCTAGCTTAAGGTTTGTCTATTTTCTCTATGGTGCATTTTGATGAAAAGAAGTTATTATTAATTTTAATATGATAAAATCATACTAAAATGATTTACTTTTTTAATTTTTAGAATTTATGAGTTTTTCATTTTCTATTTTCTCTTCTCTGAGTTCATAAAATTATTCTTCTGTGTGTTTTTCTAAAAGATAATAGTTTTGTTTTTCACTTAAATTTTTTATCTACCTAAAATCAAATTTTAAATGCATGGCATAAAATACATGCTCGAATTAATTTTTTAAAACATATGGTCAAGCAATTGTCATATTAACATTATAGAAAAATCTAATCTTTCCATTTTATTATACATCAAATTTACAATTATATATGGTTCTATTCCTGAGTCCCCTATTCTTTTCAGTTTATCAGTCTGTTTATCTTTTCAGCATGACCTTATACTAACTTGATATAGTTTAAAAAAATGTTTGATACCTGGCTAGGCAAATCTTTCTACTATGTTTTTCTTCTATATGTGTTCTGGCTATTTTTGGACATTTACACTTGAGTATAAATTTCAAAATCAGATTATCAAGTTACACCAAAAAAAACCACCTTACTAATATTTTTTATTGGAATTGAACTGAATCTAGGAGTCTTTAAAATCTAGTTTCTATGTCCTAAAATAGTTGACTCTGCACTCTAGGAAATCATATATCTCACCAGTGTTAGTTTGCTAGGGCAGCCACTACAAAATACCACAGACTGGGTGTCTAAAATAAGAGAAATTTATTTTCTCACAGTTCTGGAGCCTGGAAATCTTAGATCAAGGTGCCATCAGTTGCTTTCTGGTGAGACCTCTCTTTCTGGCTTGCAGACAACCACATTCTTTTTATATGCTCACATAGCTTTTCTTCTGTATGCATGCATAGAGAGAAAGAGATAAACATCTCTGGGGTCTTTTGCTCTTCTCACAAAACTCCAGTCCAATGGAATTAGGGCCACAACATTATGAACTCATTTAACCTTAATTATCTCTTTAAATCCCTATCTTCAGATATACTTATACTAGTAGTTAGGGTTTCAACATATGAATTTTGGGGAAGCACAATTCAGTCTATAACATCAACACTATTTAAGTATTCTTTAATCTCTTTTAATAATGTTTTGTAACTTCTTCATAAAGGTAAATTTTCTGTTAAGTACAATTTACATTCTAATGTAATTGCAAATACCTTTTTATTTTATTTTTTTAAATTTTATTATGTTATGTTAGTCACCATACAATACATCATTAGCTTTAGATGTGGTGATCCGTGATCCATTTTTTTTTTGTAATGCAACTTCATCACTTTATTCAAATCTTCAAAATAGTCTTTATTCTACATTTTTAGTATAAAAAATCCACAAGTTAAGTGCACCACAATGTAGAGAGAGACATACAACGCTGAACTTCCATAACAGTCAATGGTACAGTCAAACATCACATGGACAGAACACAAAATTTAGATGAACTGAAATTATAAAATAATATCCAATTTCAGAAAACAAAAATCAAAATATTAAGGGTCCCTGAAATATTCTTAACGCTAATGAGATTTCACTGGACCCGAGTCATTTTGTAGTGAGGGATTCATAACATGACCCCATTAACCCAGCTGAGGAATTCTCAGGAGCCACGAGGGCCTACATCAGATACTCTGACAATGAAGAGTAACCAATTTTTGGATGGGAAAACATCCCCTAATTTGACTCTGACATCATCAGGCTTTTGAAATACATCCTTCTCCTTGCCCCCACATTTTAAACAAACCTGTTTACAGTACAGTTTGCATTGATACCCTTTGTTCAAATAGAGCTCTGTTTTTCTGTCACCGAAGCAAATTGGGGTTTGGTTCATGGATGAAGAAACAACCTATGAGGAGCATCAAAAAGGCACCCTCCACTTTTGCCTGAGGAGATGCAAAAGCAGAAGTAATGGGGCCTGTGCTTGGAGCACAGAGGGGGTTTCAGAAGATCCTTGTGAAAGACTAGTTAAAAGATGGCAAGTGGGGACAAGTGCAAAGAGAGAAGGAAGTTAGTCTGACTGGCTTTCTATCCTGCACCATTGATTCAATGGAGATTGGCAGGAAGGAACTGGAAGAGACTAGAGGTGAGGGTGGGACATGGGGCAAAGGATGGAAAGGAGGGAAGGGCAGACAACTAATGTGTTTCATTTATAACAAGTAATAGAAATCAAAGACTTAAAGGAGATTAAAGACCAATCAGAATAATTTAGCAACTTTAATTCTTAGGAAGATTAAAGTTCCCTCCAAATCTAATTTGATGTTTTATTAACTAAGAGCAAAGACCAGTATGGTACAGTATTACTCCAGAGGAATTAAAGGAAGATCCTTAGGGCTGCTTTGCCCACATTCATTTTATGAATGGATGCCTCCCCTACCTCAAAATGCTTTAAAGAGGTACTGCTACCATTACATGGATCCTTATTAAGTTTGAAAAGTGACTGAAAGTTTGGGCACCAGAAAGACACCCAAACAACATGTGTCTAAACTGCAACTTCAAGTTAATATGACTAAAGCAGTTACATTGTGAGAAGTGCTGAAGGTATGTGATGTCTTTCCCGACACAGAGGTGGCCTTGGTTCTTCACCAGATGGTGTAGCCACCATCTGAGCCATCCGTGAAGAAGTTTCCCTTCCGCTGAGTTATGAGGACATTGGCTCCCTGCATGACTGCAAGCTGAGCAGCGTTGGGAGGGCATCCAGGGGGTGGACAAGGAATGTTGCCAGCGGTAGCCCCAGCTCCAAATCTGGCACTTGCATTATACCCTCCTTCCACCAGCACTGCTGAATCAGGTGGATAGATGGGACCAACTGGATAATAAGCCATAGGGATTGTGGAACTTAAAGGTCCAACAGCCACAGATTGGGCTATGGGAGGATACAGTGAGGCACCAGGTAATGCAGCTGACGTGGTGGGGACTGTGGCAGTCCCTGGGTGCACAAAGTTCGGACGATAGAGCTCTGAGTAGGCAGGTGGAGCATCAGTATAGGGTGGAGCATGAGGAATATGCAAGGTTTGAGGGTACACTGGGTTCCCAGGAGGCTGCACAGGGCAGGTTGGCTGCATTGGATATTGCCGTTGCTGTTCATGGTGGCTGCTGGTACGGTTCAGCTTGGTGTCTGATCCATTGTTTTTGTATAACACCCAGTGCTCCATGCAGTACGTGCCCTCCCTAATGCCCATCGCCGGGCTAACCCATGCCCCATCCCTTCCCTTCTAAAACCCTGTTTGTTTCTCAGAGTCCATAGTCTCTCACGGTTCATCTCTCCCTCCAATTTCCCCCCTTCATTTTCCCCTTCCTTCTCCTAATGTTCTCCATGCTATTCCTTATGTTCCACAAATAAGTGAAACCATATGACAATTGACTTTCTCTGCTTGACTTATTTCACGGAGCATAATCCCCTCCAGTCCCATCCATGTTGATGTAAAAGTTGGGTATTCATCCTTTCTGATGGCTGAGTAATATTCCATTGTATATATGGACCACATCTTCTTTATCCATTCATCTGTTGAAGGGCATCTCAGCTCTTTCCACAGTTTGGCTATTGTGGACATTGCTGTTATGAACATTGGGGTGCATATGGCCCTTCTTTTCACTACATTTGTGTCTTTGGGGTAAGTACCCAGGAGTGTAATTGCTGAGTCATAGGGTAGCTCTATTTTTAATTTTTTGAGAGACCTCCACACTGTTTTCCAAAGTGGCTGTACCAACTTGCATTCCCACCAACAGTGTAAGAGGGCTCCCCTTTCTCCACAACCTCTCCAACATTTGCTTCTCTTCCTGTCCATTTTTGCCATTCTAACTGGTGGAAGGTGGTATCTCAATGTGGTTTTGATTGGAATTTCCCTGATGGCTAATGATGATGAATATTTTTTCATGTGTCTGTTAGCCATTTGTCTTCTTCAGAGAAGTGTCTTTTCATATCTTCTGCCCATTTTTTGACTTGATTATTTGTTTTTTGGGTGTTGAGTTTGAGAAGTTCTTTATAGATCTTGGATACCAGCCCTTTGTCAGTAGTGTCATTTGCAAATATCTTCTCCCATTCTGTGGTTGCCTCTTTGTTTTGTTGACTGTTTCCTTGGCTGTGCTGAAGCCTTTTATCTTGATGAAGTCCAAAAGTTCATTTTTGCTTTTGTTTCACTAGCTTTTGGAGATGTATCTTGAAAGAAGTTGCTGTGGCTGATGTCAAAGAGGTAACTGCCTATGTTGTCCTCTAGGATTTTGATGGATTCCTGTCTCACATTGAGGTCTTTCATCCATTTTGAGTTTATATTTGTGTATGGTGTTAGAGAATGGTTGAGTTTCATTCTTCTACATGTGGCTGTCCAATTTTTCCAGCACCATTTATTGAAGAGACTGTCTTTTCTCCATTGCATTTTTTTACTGCTTTGTTGAAGATTATTTGACCATAGAGTTGAGGGTCCATTTCTGGGTTCTCTATTCTGTTCCATTGGTCTATAGGTCTGTTTTTGTGCCAGTACTATGCTGTCTTGGTGATCACTGCTTTGTAATATAGCTTGAAATTGGACAACGTGATGCCCCAGCTTTGTTTTTCTTTTTCAACATTTCCTGGCAATTTGGGGTCTTTTCTGATTCCATACAAATGTTAAGATTGTTTGTTCCAGCACTTTGAAGAATGTCATTGGAATTTTGATCAGGATGGCATTGAAGGTATAGATTTCTCCAATACTTTTTAAAAATTATATTTTATTCCTGTTAATTTTTGGTATATAGAAATACAATTTGATTTTGTATAGAGATTTATATCTAGCCACCTTACAGAACCTTTTACTTAATTCTATGATTTATCCATAAATTGTTTTGAGTATCTATGTGTAAAATCATATTACCCTTTCCAGTTCCATAACTAATTTTTTTCTTGCCTTAAATTACTGATTAGGATTTCAGAGCATTGTTGAAAAAAAAGTGGTGATAACAAACACCCCTGTCTAGACACTAAAGTTAAGAAAATGTAGTTTATGTTCAATGTGCAATAATTGTTAACATAGACAATTTGTCTACAAATTGTTTTTAATGTTTCAACCTTAGTATTAGGTTTGCTTTTGATTTTATAGATACTTAGAACTCTTCTAGGTTAAAAAAAAATCCTGTTCTTATTCTTATTTATGTCTATCTAGAGAGTTTATTTAGATGTCTCATAAATATGTTAATGTAGGGGAGAGAGTTCAGATGGCAGTGTAGTAGGAGGACCCTAGGCTTGTCTCATCCCTCAAACACTACCAGATAATTATAAAATCATTCTGAATACCCAAGGAATCAACCTGAGAACCGACACACAACTAAAAGGAGAGAAGGTGCCACACTGAGGAAGGTAGGAAGTACAGAGGTGTGGTTTGGGGGAGAAAGAGATCTTTGGTGCTGTGGAAGGGAGGGAGCCCTGGTTGCAGAGAAACATGATAAAAAGTGGAGCATACAGGGATATGCACAAGGAGAACACTTTCCCAAAGCCATTGGCTGGGAAAATGAGAGGGACTAACTAGATGTAAGACAGGAAACCATGAAAATCTTAGAGGAGAACACAGGCAGCAATTTCTTTGACATTAGCCATGGCAACTTCTTACTAGATATGTCCCCTCAGGTAAGGGAAATAAAAACAAAAATAAACTACTGGGACTTCATCAAAATACAAAGCTTCTCCATAGCAAAGGAAACAACAAAACTAAAAGGCAACCTATGCAATGGGAGAAGATATTTGCAAATGACATATCAAATAAAGGGTTAGTATCCAAAATCTATAAAGAACTTGTCAAACTCAACACCAAAAAAACAATGAAGTTGAGAAATGGGCAGAAGACATGAATAGACATTTTTCCAAAGAAGACACCCAGATGGCTAACAGATACATGAAAAGAAGCTCAACATCACTCATCATCAAGGAAATACAAATCAAAACTACAATGAGATATTACTTCACATCAGTCAGAATGGCTAAAATTAACAACACAGGAAATAATAGGTGTGGCAAGGATGTGGAGAAAGGGGAACCCTCTTACACTGTTACTGGAATGCAAACTGGTACAGCCTTTCTGGAAAACAGTATGGAAGTTCCTCAAAAAGTAAAAAGTAGAACTATCCTACAATTAAGAAATTGCACTACTATGTATTTACCCAAAGGATACAAAAATACTGAAGGTTTTTTTTTTTTTTTGAAGGGATACATGCACCCTAATATTTATAACAAAATTATCAGCAATAGCCAAATTATGGAAGGAGCCCAAATGTCAATTGACTGATGAATGAATAAAGATGTGGTATAAAGATAAAATGGTATATTACTCAGCCGTAAAAAAGAATGACATCTTGCCATTTGCAAGGGCGTGGATGGAGCTAGAGAGTATTCTGCTAAGGGAAATAAGGCAGTCAGAGAAAGACAAATACCATATGATTTTAATGAGCAATAAACATGGCAGGGAGGGGCAAGTGAGGCAAACCAAGAAACAGACTCTTAACTATAGAGAACAAACTGAAGGTTACTAGAGTGGAGGTGGGTGGGGGGGATGGGTTAAATAGGTGATAGGTATTAAGGAGGGCACTTGTGATGAGCACTGGGTGTTGTAGGTAAGTGATGAATCACTAAATTCTATTTCCTAAAATTAATATTTTACTGCATGTTAACTAACTAGAATTCAAATAAAAATTTGGAGGAAAAACAATATTAGAGCAGAAAAAAATAAATATAAGCTAAAAAAAAGAAAACCCCACAATAGAACAAATCAATGAAACCAGAATCTGGTTCTTTGAAAAGATCAACAAATTTGATAGAACTTTAGCCAGACTCATCAACAGAGAGAAGGGGGAGAGAGGGATAGAGAGAGAGAGGAGACTCAAATAAATAAAATCAGTAATGAAAGAGGAGAAAAAACAGCCAAATTCACATAAATACAAAAGATTATAAGAGAATATTATGAAAAATTACATGCCAACAAATTAGATAACCTAGAAGAAATGGATAAATTCCTAGAATCATATAACCTCTCAAAACTGAATCATAAAAAAATAGAAAATATGAATAGACAGATTAGCAACAATGAAATTAAATCAGTAATTTAAAAACTCCCAACATACCAAATCTAAGACCAGATGGTTTCACAGATGAATTCTATTAAACATTAAAAAAAGAGTTAATGCCTTCCTCTCAAATTATTTTAAAAAATACAAGAGAAAGAAAAGTATCCAAGTTCATTCTATGAGGCCAGCATTACCCTGATACTAAAACTAAAAATAGTCATTAGGACAAAAAGAGAACTGCAGGTCAATATCTCTGATGAACATAGATGCAAAAATCTTGAAGAAAATTATACCAACCCAAATCTAATAGTACATTTAAAAAGTTATTCACCATGATTATATGGGATTTATTCCTGGGATGAAAGATTGGTTTAATATTTGCAAATCAATCATGTGATACATCACATCAATAAGAGAAAGGATAAAAACCATATGATCATTTCAATATATGCAGAAAAAGTACTTGACAGAGTACAACATCTATTCATGATTAAAAAAAAAAAAAAACCCTCAAAACAAAGTAGGTTTTGAGGGAGTGTAACTCAACATAATAAAGACCACATAAGAAAAACCCAAGCTAACATTATCCTTAATGGGGAAAAACTGAGAGCTTTCCCTCTAAGGTCAGGAATAAGGCAAGATGTCTATTCTCACCAGTTTTTTTTCAACTTAGTACTGGGCATCCTATCCACAGCAATCATAACAACAAAAAGAAATAAAAGGCATCCAAATTGGTAAGGAAGAAGTAAAACTCACACTATTTGCAGATCAAGACTCCACCAAAAAACTGCTAGAACTGACGAACAAATTCAGTAAAATCACAGGATACAAAATCAATGTGCAGAAATCTGTTGCATTTCTTTTTTAAAAAAGATTTTATTTATGTATTTGTCAGAGAGAGAGAGCACAAGCAGGGGGAGTGGCAGGCACAGGGAGAGGGAGAAGCAGGCTCCCCGAGGAGCAGGGAGCCAGATGTAAGGCTCGATCCAGGACCCTGGGATCATGACCTGAGCTGAAGGCAGATGCTTAACTGACTGAGCCACCCTGGCACCCAATCTGTTGCATTTCTATACACCAATAATGAAGCAGCAGAAAAAGAAATTAAGAAAGCAATCCTATTTACAATTGCACCAAAAATAATATGACACCTAGG